GTCGACTAGCGCAGTTTTAGCATGCCAACGCTATGCTAATATTGTCGTTGATGTCTTTATTTAAAACCACCCGTAGCGCAGTTGCTGGTATGCTAATGCAATGCTAGCGATATTACTTTATCCCTATCTCTAATCGTTTTTATCCTTGGCATCTTTGATCTGTGTATCTCGTATCTGGTATCTGGGTCTGGTGTCTGGTATCTGGCCTCTGGTATCTGGTATCTGGTCTGGTATCTGGTTATCAGTTTTCATTTTTCATTTTTAATTATTCTATTTTAATTTTTAATTTTTTCGATTTTCGATTTTTCGATTTTTCGATTTTTCGATTTCGATTTTTCGATTTTTCGATTTTTAGATTTTTAGATTTTTAGATTTTTAGATTTTTTGATTTTTTGACTTTTTGACTTTTTGATTTTTTGATTTTTTGATTTTTTGATTTTTTGATTTTTTGATTTTTTGATTTTTTGATTTTTGATTTTTTGATTTTTGATTTTTTTGATTTTTTGATTTTTTGATTTTTTGATTTTTGATTTTTGCTTTATTTTTTGATTTTGATTTTTTTGATTTTTGATTTTTTGATTTTTTGATTTTTGATTTTTTGATTTTTTGATTTTTGATTTTTTTGATTTTTGATTTTTTGATTTTTTGATTTTTTGATTTTTTGATTTTTTGATTTTTGATTTTTTGATTGTTTGATTTTTTGACTTTTTTGATTTTTGATTTTTTATTTTTACCTTATTTAATCTGCTGACGATTTCCGTTTTCCGTTTTTCGTTTTTTGTTCTTCGTTTTTCATATTTTATTTTTCACATTTCATTTTCATTTTTCATTTTTCATTTTGCATTTTTCATTATTCATTCATTTTTCATTTTTCAACGTCGCATGTGTCACCATCAATAGCACACAATGGCCTTATAAAATCTTCGATAGCATTAATGCCCTCTATAAAATTGTATGATAAACTCAGATTTATGTGGTGAGCCGGCAACGTCGCATGTGTCACCATAAATAACACACAATGGCATTATAAAATCTTCGATATAGCATTAACCCCTCTATAAAATTGTATGACAAACTCCGATTTATGTGAGGATCCGGCAACGTCGCATGTCTAGCTACCGCACTTACAAAAAATGGCGTTGACACTTGATCTATCTCAACCGTGTTCGCCTAAGGATGCACCTTCTATCTTCAGTGTAAATGTTTTATGATTTGACAGGAATGAAAATTATTCTTACCTTATTTAAATCTGCTGACGATTATAGAGATATTGCATATGACCTAAATAGGGTATGCATTATTTAGGTGAACCTAAATAAGTACAGTGGAATTAGAGATATTGCACATGTAACGTATTTGACAGTTCGCTTTGATGGTGTTTATCTTAACCTCACTTTTCCTTCCAGTTTTTGCTTGCATAATATAGGTGGTTCGTAGTTGAAATTCTACCAAAGGTGTGAGAAGTGAGATTGTAAAATGGAAGCTGAATTGGAAGCAGTTATATTGGCAGGAGCAGATGAGGAGGAATAGAACATATCATCCTCCATAATATATTTATTGATAGAGGCATTACTCATACAGCACAATTCAACTTGGAAAACTTGCCAGATGAAGTAATAAGACTAAATTTTCGATTTGAGAGGTCTGACCTTCATAGGCTGATGGCTGTTTTACGAATACCTTCAGAAATTGTCACTATCACGTAATAAGTGGATGGTATTTTGTTTAAATATTTATTGCTATATGTTCATCATTTCAATCGAACTCCATCCTCTGACTCAAACAACACTTGCCAGAGGCTGGAATTCTATCAACATGAAAACCACAGTATAAGTTCCATTTATCTTCTTTCAGGTTTAACAGCATTGTGCTTCTACTAAGACGGCTGGCATATCCAAACAGATTGTGTGATATGGTCCCTATGTTCCACTTGTCAACTCAGTCTTTGTCACAAATCATAAATAAATTGATAAGTGTGATTATGGAGGAGCATGCTGTACTTCTCAACAATTTGAATTCATTGCAGTGGTTTAATAGGGAGAAGTTGGAGTATATGCACAGGTATTGTATTGTGTAATATAGTTGAAGTGATGGTTGGTTCATAAAATGCTGAAATGTGCTTTTGTAGGCTATTCATAATAAAGGAGCACCTATGAATAATTGTTGGGGTTTCATCGATGGTACAGCAAGGAAAATTTGTCGACCCTCTGAAAATCAAGGAGTATTATTCAGGACACAAAAGGTATCACTGCATAAAATTCCAATCAATAATTTGTCCTGATGGAATTATTGTTTTTGAAAGGCGCATATCCGGGAAGAAGGCATGATGCCAGAATATTTAGGGAGTCAGGTATCTCTGAAGAATTAGTGCAAAAGACATGTTTTGACACAAGACGATTTGTTTTATTTGGTGATCAAGGATATGGGCTGAGTGTGCTATTTACCCCATTTCATGGCAGAATGGAAGATTTACCTGCCATCAGCAGAGTTTCAATTCTGCTATGAAAGTTCTAAGGATAGCAGTAGAATGGGGTTTTCAGAAAGTCATATCAGAATTTGCCTTTGTAGATTTTTCAAAAAACCAAAAAATGCTACTTCAAGACGTTGATGCTTTATACAAGGTGGCTGTACTACTTACTAACTGCCATACATGCCTGTATAGTAGTCAGACTGCTATGTATTTCAATACAAATCCACCTTCACTTGAGACCTACATAGGCCACTGATAAATAGAGGACATTTTGGGTTTGAAATACTCGTTTGCTTTCCATCGCCGCAGCCAAGACCAACCGCAGACAGCGCTGTTTCGGGCTCTTTAGCCCTCATCAGTATGGTATAGGTCTGTATCAGGTCCAGCCGTGAAGGCGGACAAATGGAAAGTAAACAAGCGAATGTGGTCTATCAAATAGCGGGAAGACGGTAAATGTAAAAGATGGCTCGCGCCATCTAAATTTCGCTAGAACTAGTTTCTTTGCAATGGAAAGCAAACGAGTATATCAGACTATATTATTGCATGTTCTGCAGAAAATGCTATTGTTAGTTTGTCCTGTGAACGCCTTGCGTTACGACTCTGGTGGCCGGCTACTGTTGGTTGGTACCGGGGTATCTGTACTCTGTACAATTCATCTGAGTCAGCGACCAGAAATCGTAAGGGGTTTCTGCTTTGCCTGCGTCGTCATTGACGAAACTTGCAAAGAAACTATCTCTAGCGCAAATTTAGATGGCGCTAGCCATCTTTTACATCTAAATTTTGGGTTGTTTCTAACTTGTAACGCTTGATGATAATTTGTAATTTTTTATAGACTTGTAAGACCAATAAAGCTTGTTTGGAATGTATGTTTATTTATTTTACAACCATAAGGGCAGCAAGCACCCAATAAGAGATTTCAAAACTAAATTAGTATGTTGCTGAAAATATATGAAATCAACTTCTTCAGGAGTTGTGGATGAAATATGTTTGATCCTGAAGTTACACAGTTTTACTATGTTCATACATGGAACCAGTTGCAGAATCAATTTCATATATTTTCGGCAACAAACTTGGTTTGTGCTCACCATCCTTAGCATCAACATTATTATTTCAATATAAGGCCAGTATATTATTTTTTAATGGCAAATTATCTATTATCAAGTTTTGTCAGTAATGCTTCAATAAGCTTTTGTTGTGTTTTGATGAGGTCACTCAAGTTTTTTCTTTCAGCGACATCTTGCTCAGATTTCTTTTGTTCTAACTCTATCCTATGTTTTTTTCTTGAATTTCTGCCTCAAGCCTTTTAGACTCCAAGGCAAGTCTTGCTTTGTCATTTGCAATTTTTTCTTTTTCATTATCCATTTTTTGTTCTTCTAACTTGAGTTCTGCAGATCTTATTTCTCGTGATATTTCCGCTTTTTCTCGTAGGTAATCAAGGCCATTTTTTCTCAATGTTTTACTTTTGTTCATCCTTTTGGTACGGGGGGCTGTAATGATCGAAAAGTAAGTAACAGCAACAATAAACAAATGTATTTAATCTTGAACATGAAATGTAAGAGGTAGTTTTGAGCTTTCTGTTTTATAGGTAATGTATAACAACTAGAAACTACTTAATCTAGTAGTAGCCCTCTGAATGGGATGCCATGGCAATGCTATATACGCTGTAGTCATCTGGATCCACTATTTGGTTAGTCTGGCCTGTAAATAAAACCGCAGTGCTAAACAAAAGAAGTTCACTGACAGGTTAGTCATTGCACTGGCTTTTATCAAAGTATATAACATAAGTACCTACACATTTTATATCGAGCACTGGTTTTATTTACTGGTCATACTCCATAACCTGTGGATCTGTTTTAGTGTTTCTATTACTGAAGATTCAAGCAGTAATTCTAATCATTGTTTTACCTGATATCTGTTTTGCAGTTCCAACATCTTGTACAGATATCTGTTTTGCAGTTCCAACATCTTGTACAGATATCTGTTTTGCAGTTCCAACATCTTGTACAGATATCTGTTTTGCAGTTCCAACATCTTGTACAGATATCTGTTTTGCAGTTCCAACATCTTGTACAGACTTATTATTATTTTCTGTGTCAACGTCGACTGTAACACAAACACCTAAAACTGTGATAATATAGTATATGTATAAAAAATGTTTAGAATAGTTATTTTACCGTAATCATGGTCGATTAAAGTGTCATCCACATCAGAAAAGGCCAGCAGTGCCATAGCCTCTCTTTCATTGCGTGTCTTTTCAATCATATCTTTCGCTTTGTTTTCCACTTTTTTCTTTTTTGCTGGTGTAGTTGAGCAGGTCTCTTTCATTAACTCGCTGGCTTCTTGGAGCATATGTTCTCTTTCATTATAGACTTCTTCTATGCCAGACCTGTCAAACACAAATGTTGTTTCACCAAGTCTTACATTAAGCATTCTCTTGTTATTAAAATACATGTAGGTACAGTGTGCTATCTTATACTTACTTGACTTTGCTGTTAACCTCCTTTTTGAGGAACAGCTCCAGAAGATGGTTCAGATGCTTTTTTATTGTTCTCAAAATAAATTCTTTTCCCGTAAGCTCTCGCAAGTTCTGTAAGATTGAGTCCCACTTCTCAGGAGAACGGATAGGGTTTTGTGCAATAAATTCACGCAGCAAAATCATTTCGTCGTCATACGTGAACCTTATTCTCTTTTTATCCATATTCATAGTTACCAAAACGCTTCAGCAATCGTTGAATTTTGAGAGTACAAATTTATAGGTTAAATAGGCTTGCGACGACACCCGATTTGCTTAGATCGTGAATCGTCGTGACATAAGAACGCCTAAATAAGCTCCCCCTATTATAGCTTAAATAAGGACGTGCCTTATCCCTATTAATTCCTCATAGATACAGAATTGTATGTGCGCATGCGTAGATGTCAAAATAAGGTCTGCACTAATAAGGCAGATGTTTGCAATATCTCCCTAATAAGGATACCTCACGATCTTCTTAAAAGATGAAATACGTTATCACGATAGATATACACTGAGGCACTTCGTCTGAACCGAAAAATTGTAAACACTCGGCACCGGGTGTCACTAGACAATACTATACACTACTGTACACTGCTATAAGTACAAAGTCTTGCTATGTTGTGGATTTCTGCTCTCCTCAGGAATTGATCTTTGGCATTAATAACGTCTTTCAATGATATTTATCGTATTTAAGCTGATGAACTGCTAAACGTGAAAGAATAATTGCACAATCTGTCAGTAACAGTTTGGTAGAAGATATGATCATCAATGTTATTTTGCAGCGCTTTGCATGTTCCTTCATCTGCTTGATAATATTTGCCAATCGAAGGGATAGATGACAAGTTTGTTTACTTATTTTCCATTTATACATACTACTCAGGTGAGATACTACTACAAGGTTTTTACAATATTTATGAGTTTGTTGGTGGTAAAGTTCTTCGTTTGGGAAAAATTCAACAGAAGCAGATGAACAATGCTCGCTTTATGATCTGGAGAAAAATGTGCTATCGCTTTAAAATAAAATTTCCTCTATTTTTTTTAATGTTGTATGATTATGATCAATCAATTAGAAACATGACATATAATAATAACATCTCAAAAAATTAGACCAGAAGCTTGAAATTATTAAGTACTATAGTTGTTGGACAGTAAGTAATAGTATCGCTTGAAAATCAAATTTTGTAATCTGTTTCCTCTGATTCAATAATGAATTTTTCTGTAATCTATGATTAAGATCAGTCTTAGAAACAGGACAGATGTGAGTATCCTTGAAATTAGACATATAATAATAACATCTTTAAAAACAGAATAGAAATTTGAAATCATCAAGTGCTATAGTTTTTTGACAAGTAATGGTGTCTGTTGTTTTGACAAGTCTTGGAAGTGACAAGTCCTTAAAGCAGCTACATTCTAAATCGAAGTACATACATTCTGCATTGAGATCAAAATAAACAACTGCAGTGGCTGTGAAAGTCTTAGTAATTTTGAAAACTTTGGTAGTAGATATGATTATCAATGCTATTTTTCAGCGCTTTGCATATTCCTTCATCTGCTTGATAATATGTGCCACAGTTAGCCAGCTAATAGGTCTGAACTGAGGGTCAAGACTGAACTCTTACTGAACTTCATAGAAGTGACTGACTACTTACGTTTGCAATAGAAACACATAAACTGTAAACACTTCACACAACACTTTCACTATTTGTAGCTGCGATTGCTTGTTCTAAGCTTCTAATTAATCCTTATTAACGGGAGCCTCATTATTAAGATTTCGATAATGTTTACATTCATACATTGTAGGTTAGAAATCGGAGGTGATGCAATCAGACATACGCTTTAATCAATCGGTTAGAAAAGCGGAGCTTTATGCCATATTGTAAAATTATAACATGAATAGGGGCTTACAATCATATTTTTATAGTATTTATAAACCGATGATGATTTCAATAAATTGATGAACGTCAAAGAATAATTGCAGCCTTTGGCGGTAGACATCGCAATCTGTAAAAATAAAAAACTACTAGATTCATCCGATTTTAATGGCTCTAGTCCGGTCCGTTTAGACAATGGAATATAGAAATTTTGAATCTTTTCGAAAATGTTGATTTTCACGCGCAAAAAAGGACAATTCTATTTGGCGTGATCCTATATTCGATGAAGCGACCAACATAAAGCCGAAAATGGCACGTTTTTGACGTTCCGCTCGCACGCGCTCGCTTTCGTAATACGATCATACCTACATTACCCCGCCTAACAGGAATCCGGGGATCTGGAGGGGAAATTCAAAATTGAAACGTCAAACTAAAAATATCTGCATATCTTTGAATTTTCTAATCTGCCGAGTTTAAAAAATGCGATCGGGTAACGTGTCGTATGTCGGTTTAATCAGGAGACTTTGGTCTTTCGTTTTGCGAAAAAAAATCGTAGCTACGTCGCTCCGTAACGCAGGTCCGT